CTCTAAATTCAAGCCCAGTGGGCTCAACGCTGGTTCGGACCAAATGTTGCAGGAAAAAAGTGAAAACTGCAATCATCCAGTCGCAAGTCCGTTTTTCTTGTCTTTGGACCTTTAGGCGTGTCCTCTTTCCTTCCTTTCTGTGCATTCATGCATTTGTAAAATATCCATATTAGGCGCGCACATAATCATCGCTCTGCAGCACTCGGGTAATGTAGCGGATCGCGATGTTCAAAGGCTCCATCTCCTGCAGTCTGAATAGCCCAACGGCCTGACTAACCCGAGTGCACTCTTATTGATTTTTGGGTCTTTTCCAATAAGAACGATTGCCTTCTGAGATAAGAAAGTGCTCTATGTGCTCTTTTAGGCACTGTACTGCTGTAATTCTGGAGGTTTTGTGGCTGCTTCCTAGCACAAGGCAGCAAATCGTAGCAGGCAGCGCAGCGGCAGCAGCACCCATCAAGCTCTTAATGGGGATGACCCCTGCGAAGGCCGCAGCCTTTAGGTCTTCCTGCATCTCAGCACAAAAGGTTCCCGAATTCGTGCCTGATGCCTGCATGAGGCACGCCACAGCTCGTTCGAGGAATGGAACATCTAAACGCATAGTAAATCATAGTAATCACATAGGCAGGGCTGCATAATGTGACTGAAGAAAAGTGCAGAACAGTGAAGAGTTCTGGCGGGGGAGTGAAAGCAGATATTTGCGGAGAAAGTGCAAACTGGAAAGAAGTGCCCAAAAGTATGCAGAAAAGCCATACAGGAAAAAGTCCTGAAAACTGAGTACTGGAGGTCGAAGCACAGAAAAGCAGTGGATTTTAGAAGAAAGTGCACCAAGTAGAGGTATCTAGCGATAAGTGCAAAAAAGTGGAGTGTTAGAGTAAACGTTGTCCGCAATCCACTGAGCTCGAGACTGAGCGACAACTGCTTGTAACAAGAAGCTACTAGTAAAATCTAGTAACAAGGACGCTATTCGGTGGAGGCCATCGCAAGTAGGTTGGAGGCCATCGCTACTAGAAACTGTGGGAAGAACATGAAAGAACTAGTGTTCTCCTCGTCACTCTCAGTTCTTGCCCGAGCTGGGAGACTTTCCCTGAGGAAGCGGAGTCGTGTCACCTCTTGGAGGGAACGACTGAAGAGGCGCCGTGTTTTGCTATTCTGTGCATCTGCAACCAATCCGTCCAAAATTTGCAAAGCACGTGGTTCTTAAACACCGAATTAGAGTATAAAGGCTTCGATACTTTTCTCGTGCAGATTTGGTGTTTCTCCAGCTGCACCCTGGGGAGCAAGCTCGTCCAGGAGCACGTCAACCTCGACTGAACATCTCGGAGTGCTCAGACAATGTCTGCCAATTCTGATTCTATCTCAACATGTGTTTATTCTTTCTTCTCTTATCTTCTCTTCTTTTTGTCTTCAGGTCTTTGGAATCCTTGAAGGCCTTTCGTCGTTCCCCAAGTCCATGCAATCTCGGTTTCCCACTGCATCCACTGCTTCATCATCTTCGTCAGGCTCCTGCCCCAAAGTTCTCTGCAAGGCGAAGTTGGAAAGCTCTGGTGAAGCGAAGGTCCAGTGAAGAGAAGAAGAAGAAGAAGAAGAAGGGGACCTTCACTTCTGCCTGTTCCTATTTGTTATGTTATATCTTTATAGAGAGAGAGAGAGAGGGTTGAGGAGAGAGAGAGAGAGATAGAGACAGAGTTGAGGGATCTCAAGGTGACCTTGTGCCCAGGTGCATCCCAAAGGATGGCAAGGGTATTGCGGGGCGATTCTTCTTCCGCTTCGTAATGCTTCAGTTGGACCCCTCCACTCGCTTGCTTCAACTGGCTTCAACTGAGCAGTTGCCTCCCACCGAAGTCACCTGTCTCACTTCTTCGTCTTCAGCGCTGGGTGCTCACCCGTGGCCCACGTGGGTTCAACACACAACACGTCTGCTCCAACAGTGGGTTTTTTCCCTTATAATTTATAAGAGTCACCCTTCAACTCCCTCCAACAAGACAAAAAAAACACACTATTTTACTCCTCCGGGAGTGGCAACGGGAGATCTGGCGCCCCTTCCTGAGAGCATGGATTCGAAGTTTTGGACGCCTCTACCTTCAACCCCAACTGAAGCAAGCTCTTGGAAGGCCTCTTGGCTTGTTTGGCAGGGACTTGCTAAGTTGCGAACCAGTATGCTGCCAAGCCTAAGGCCATCTCGACAATCTTCACAATGCTTACATTAGGCTTACATTATGAAAAAAATACATCATGCCAAACACATCAGCTTGCACACTTCTTGTAAAGAGAGGCCATAGTCAAGGCCACAAAAGTTAAGTGCAGTCAGCTGAGGCTCAACAAGAACACGGCTCTTTTAGTCAGTGTCTTCCATTCCCGTAATTCTCATCTGTTCCGGTATTTCAACTCAGCTCTGCACGCGTCGCATGCAGCGGCTCGCACTGGAGGATCGCGGTCCCCAACTGAGCATCAACAGGTGGTGACAGAAACGCGACCGGCGAAAGAATGGTCTGAGTTGTGGTAAAGGTAAGGCGTCTTGTTGAATGTCCTCAGAATCTGTAGGTACAAGGAGGTTGGCTCAATCCATGGTAGGCAAGGTGCACACATGTTGCCAATAAAATGGAAAACGCACTGCACAGCTTGGTCTAACAAGCCAGTGCTCCAACCTACGCTTATATTCACAACCTGTGAGAGAGAGAGAGAGAGACACACACACTCATGGATATGCGTACGGACTTGATAGCGGTGCCACACGCCGGCCTAGGGTTCCATTTCCTAAGAGTACGAGTAAGAACCACGGAGCCTCGAGGTCTTCAAGAGGAAATAGGGCCAAAGTCTCAAGATCGAAGGCGACGATCAAGTCGACATGACGACGTGCGCTCTGGACTGCCAAATGTAGCTACCTGTGAGGTTCTGGGCTTAGCCTCATGCCATTCAGAAGACTCGGAAAATGGCAGGTACGTCTGGCTGATCAGGCCAGATATCCGCATGTACTGTGGCCGCTTCGTTGGACCATTGCTCACAGCACATGGATGGTCCCCCTGCTGTAAAACAAAACAAATGCAAAAGCATCCCTATGACTCCAAGGGTGACACACACACACACGCCTCCCCGAAGGGAGGCACCTCTGCGCCTAGTAGTAAGGCCAGGAACCCCTAGAGGCACCAAAGTAGCGTCCTAGTAAGAAGGCTAGGAGCCCCTAGTAGCAACCCACACTAAGGTCCTGACAGGAGGGAGGGGTAGGGAGAGAAGAGAAAAAGAAAGAGAAGAAAGGAAAGGGGAGGAAGGTGTTCCCAGCTACGACACAAGCGTCCAGGGACACACCAAAGGAGGAAAGGAAAAGGGTTCCCAGCTATGACGAAAGCATCCAGGGACACCCAAGGAAGAGGGAAAAGAGAGGGAAGAGAGAAGGAAAGAAAGAGAGAGGGAGAGAGAAGGAGAGGAGAGAAAGGAAGGTGTTCCCAGCTACGAACGATCGTCCAGGGACACACCCAAGAAAGAGAGGGGTGATCCTGAGTATTGCATTCAGGAAAACCCCAGAAAGCAAAGAAAGAAAGGGGAAGGGAAGGGGGAGGAGGGGGGACTAAGCTCGCGACAGACTCCAATGAGCCTTGAACAGACTTTGGTCGCTGCGACCACGTACGGCTTGCCCGAAGGCTGCCACCTCTGACCGCTACGGTCACGTAAAGGCATGAGCCAACTTGGAATTCCAAAGATGGGACAAAAATCATCGGACGTACGGCCTAGGCCACCTTCGCCCGCTCTGGGCATCTACATCTCCGGGCAGGGGAGATAACGACGTACACCCGTTCGACGGGTCCACGGGAGGCACTCTGCGGGCTCATCCCGGGTTGGCACGAGGCCAAACACACTCATGGATATGCGTACAGACTTGATAGCGGTGCCACACGCCGGCCTAGGGTTCCATTTCCTAAGGGTACGAGTAAGAACCACGGAGCCTCGAGGTCTTCAAGAGGAAATAGGGCCAAAGTCTCAAGATCGAAGGCGACGATCAAGTCGACATGACGACGTGCGCTCTGGACTGCCAAATGTAGCTACCTGTGAGGTTCTGGGCTTAGCCTCATGCCATTCAGAAGACTCGGAAAATGGCAGGTACGTCTGGCTGATCAGGCCAGATATCCGCATGTACTGTGGCCGCTTCGTTGGGCCATCGCTCACAGCACATGGATGGTCCCCCTGCTGTAAAACAAAACAAATGCAAAAGCATCCCTATGACTCCAAGGGTGACACACACACACACCCACCCGCGCGCGCGCGCGCGAGACCAATCAAAAAGAGGCGAGAGGAGAGGAGAGGAGAGGAGAGGAGCGACAGGAACGGGCCAGAGCCAGAGGAAAAAGTCAGAAAGTTATGTCATGTCTTTTTCCCCAACACTTTGAAAGAGAGAAAGAATGAGAAAGAAAAAGAAATACAAAAAGATATAAAAGAGAAGAGATATGTAGAATGATTAGAATGTAGAAAGAAAAGGCCATGGCGACCTTTCTTGGAGCCTTCTGGGCTTCGGTGCTCACGGCTCTGCCCAAGTCCTGCACCACCATCCGCGCAATCTGTGACAGGCCGTGCGGGCGGCAGGCCGTGAATTCAAAACAAGGCTTCATGTTTTTTCAGGATCGAGAAAAATATAAGACACACAAAAAGTCAATATATAACTCTGAAAAAAAATCGAAAGGTCAAAAAGACAGAAAGGAAGATGAATTGTTTGCCATAAGGCTTCAGGTCTCAAAGAGACGCCTCCAAACCTCAAATCAAAGCCACGACTGCTCATCAACCCCCGCCACAAGACCTTTTCCCGGCATTCCACCTTTGGAAATGCGGCTGCTTTGGGCTATGCGGCTATGCCTACGCATCCACCACACCCTCACTGCCAGGCCGAAGGCTCTTCACCTGAGCAAAGTTGTTTGGAACTCCTTTCCTGTGAACAATGTTATGTGAGAAGACACCTCCACAATGGCACAACCCTTATGTTCTCCAAACGTGGAGTGTTAGCACGACTGCTTTTCTTGCATCACTCTTGCATTCAGGAAGCCCAAGAATGGCTTGTTTTAGCCCTCCAAGGCCCCTAACGAAGGATTTCTTCAATTTGAGATGTCTGGAGCTTCAGCCTCCGAAGGCGTCAGGCTGGATGCTTCCTCACATTCCGACCTCGGCCGCTTCGGCCATCGGCCCAAATCGCCCACATCGGCATCTTTGGCAGGGCTGGTGGGACTGCGTGGGCTGCACTCGAAGTCATCGTCATACAAGCTTCCAGCTTGGCTTCCAGCTTGGCTTCCAGCTTGGCTTCCTTGACTTTCAGCACTTCCATGGCGTACGCGTGCATCAAGGTCTTCAAGGTCGTCTGGTGGCATGTTGGGCCCTTCCACGGTAGGCCCCTCATCGCCTTGTCTTTCAGCATCGCCTTCCGCCTCTCCCGCTTTCAGCACACCATCGGCGAAAGCTTCTCCTCGATCTCCTTCAAGCACTGAACGATCTGAACCCTTCTCTTTCTTCTCTTCCTTCTCCATCCGCCACAGCTCGATCTGACTCCTCTTCTGCGACAAACTCTGCAGCTCTTTGGTGTCAATCCGGCCATCTCGGTTTGCATCCAAGCCGCGAAAAAGTAGCTTTTGCTGCCTTAAAGTCAACCAACTTACCCCCATGTCAGTCAAGATGCAGTGAAATTCCCAGAAGCTGAGACTGCTGGGTCTCAGCCCCTTGTCGCTGCGAGACATTCGCCTGAGCAATTTGGCTCGCTGGGCTAGTCGTCTTTCCCAGATCTCCAGGACCCGCTCTACTTCTGTGGCGGCTTCCATCGTATCCCAAACGAACCTTCCAATCCAGTCGTTCAGAGTCAAGCCCGCCTCATCACCTTCCCCAGCTATGAACCTGAAAATTATGTCGGTCTGTTGCTGTGTCAACCAATTAATGCCACCCGCATCCATGGCATTTGCAAACTCGCTCCTTGACAAGGATACATCGACCATGCCCGCCTTTGCCGAACTCTTGGCATCGAGCATCTCCTGAATCTTCCTCGTCACATGAAAGACATGATGTAGTCTCAGACCGAGGCCACTAACTCTCTTGAAGTTCCCTGGGGAATCTATGACAAAGGCATCAGCCAAATCCTCTTCCCAGCTCATCAATTCATCTCGTTCTCTCTGGATTGCCGTGAGCAATATCATTTGCTCTGGCTCCTTTAACCAATGAATGCCCGCCCGACCCAGAGCTCTTTGAAAATCTCTCATGCCGAGCTTCTGGACATCTCGTGGGCGCCCTGCCTCCAAAGTCTCGGGTAGCTCTGCAGGGTCAAGCTCTACAGACAGGAAGTCCAATGATCCGGGGAAACGTAGCACCCAACCAGCCTTCAGTCGGAGTCCATCTATCTGCAGATCTGCGGTGAGAACCTCCCTTTCGGTCGACTCACGCAACTTCAGCAGCTCAGCAGCATTCAAAACTTTGAAAGGGCGCCAGGCAAACTTCAACTCAAAGACCAGGCGGTGACAGCAAGCCTGTCGAATCTGACGGAAACCCAATCGATCTGCCAGCTGCTTTTCAGAGAAACGCGGGAGCCGGGCAAACGGACTCAAAAAGCATAAGCGGATTGAGTGCTGCTTTGGCTGAAGCCGAGTTGAAGCTAAGACCTCTCCACTCCTTAGAGACCATAACTTCTTCCCATCTTCCACCGCAGCTTCACCAGGAATGCCTGGCTGTTCGCCACCCCTAGACCGCCTGGCTGCTTCGTCGTTTCTTGAAATCACTGCTGAGAGCTCGTATCCTTCACAAAGTCCGGCCAGTGCCATTCCGCTATCCTGGGGCAACCCAGTCACAAAGAATGGCTCTCCCAAACCGCCTCTCAGTTCAATTTCATCAGGCGCTTCCTTCTGAATTCGAATTCCGACCGTCGAAAGATTGGCAGCCTCAAGCAATGCAGCAAAGTCCTTTGGAAAGGTGGAGGCCATAAGCAGCGTCTCTACATGCTGAGTGCTTTCGAGGTCAGGGGCCTCAACAACTATCACAGCTACGAAGTTTGCGGAGACTGAGACCGAGACATTGTGCGAGGCAGTATCCCCTCCGTCTCTTCCAGCTTCCTCATTGTCAAAATGAGAGAAAGACTTAAAGGAAGAGGTCTAGCGTGCTCTGAGATCCGGATGGACCAGCTGCCCCTTTTGCCTATGCTTATTTCGAGGAAGGGTAGAATAATGAGATGTTTATCTTCAGGGGAAAAAACTACAATTAGAAAAAAAGTAAAGGCATTATTTAAAAAAGAGTTGTTCTTTCTTTTTCCTGGGGATCTGGATCACTTCCACAGTGCAGCTTCAATGCCTTCACCGTGACAGTCGGCGTCGGCTGTCGGACCTGTCGGACCGAGTCGTGGTCCGCCTGGTCCACTGCGTGGGATCCGAGGATGTGACGCAGGGCCTTTGAGACTTGTTGAATGAGTTGGTTGCGCAGCTCGGTCCAACCATGAAAAAGGGAGTCGAAGTGTCTGAGTGTGAAATAGATTCGCCAGGAGCCCTTCATGGCAATGAAGTCAATCCACAAAGTTTCCCGTGATACTTGCGGCATGCCAATTGGCTTGTCCTTCACAGAAGAGCTCCTTGTTGTAATGGATCGTGCAAGCGATCCAGAATCAATAGTGGAACGCTGAGCTTCCTTCTTGCCAGTTCGCCATGCAAATAGCCGGCGGCTCTTCTCACATCTTGGTCCTTGATGACTTTGCTTCTGGAGAAATGAGTTAATATCTTGCATTTGGGTGAAACGGAGCCTGAACGGCCTGAGCTTTCTCGGCATCCACATGCACAAAAATGAATGCAAACTCACCCACACATCGTGCAATGATCAGGCTTTCAAGCGAGCGTGGCAACCCCGAAACAAACTGTGCTAATTTGTTGTGGTAAATTGATGGGTTGGTCCGATTGGTCTGCAACGAACAGAACTGCGCATCCCCAGCCTGGAAGGACACATCAGCACCTGGAAGTGCCAATAACTTCTTCCTTATCGCCCACAACTCATGCAAAATCTGAGATTGTACAGGCCCACGGTACTTGGCATTTCAAGTTATTCTTGAGGGCATGACGCTTCCCACAAGCCACGAGCTCCTTCTCTCCAGGAACCTAAGGAAAAGTCATCGAGGAAAAACATTGACGAAGCACACCCTTTGCACAGTGCCCAGCGTACATGTACCAATTTGTGGGTGATTTTCCAATTGGCACCCCCCATCTTGCATGCCAAGAATCAAAGGCACTGTGCTCAATTGTGCTCTGTTTTTTAGCCTTGTCTTATGCTTTCACTTAGCTGACACATCCCTCAGCGCCTTGCCCACGTTGCGCCCACGGGCTGCCAACACCTTGAATGTCGCACCCTCCCGCATCCGTGGGCGCACCACCAGCAATGCCTTCAAGACGTTTGCGAAGAGTAAAGTATGTTCCCAAAGTATCCCAAAGTATTTTCCAAGGTGTTCAAAGGTTTTTTGGCCAACATGCATTCCAAATTCACATGAAAAGTGCTTCCTGCAAACTTTGAAACCGTAACGTGTGTTAGGGAGACATTGCAAAAACGAAACGATGGTGGCCTCGTCTTTGAGGCCCAAAGCATCTAGGGTCGCAAAGTCATCATGCAGTTGTCGTCCCTCAAAATAAAGCTCCTGTCAGGCACTGCAATGCATAGCCTCAGCATTGTTTGCTGGCTGGATGCTTATTCTCTCGAATCTCGCCCATTTGCTTCAAGCCCTTGGCATTTAGCATCTCCTTGTTGATTGCTGCATCGGGAACTTTTAGTTTGCGTTCCACCTTTGGCCCGACCCCAAGCTTTCGCATGAACCTTTGGAGAATCTGCCTGCAACCGAGTTTACATGCCTTTCCTGCCGCATGAAGGGCACGCCGAATAGCTGGGTGATAAAACCTCAGTTTCAGCGTGATTTTGTGCTTCGGCCAGTGTCCACGCTTTGGTTCATGATTGTCACCCAGTGATGCCTTCCGACTCGGAGATGTCTAGTTACGAGCGGCGGAAAGATCCCCCGGCACATGCTATAGCAAAGCATAGCCTAGGCTGAGTCCAAGGATGGCACCCTTCACATTCTGAATGCTGTCGCGCGCTTCGCAGGGCAGTCGCCGAAGGCCGGCCTCACAAAGCTATCGCAAACCAGTTCAAATGGCCGTATATATGCACCCTAATAGCGATGGCCTCCAACCTAAATGCGATGGCCCTCCACTAAGAGCGATGGCCTCCACCCTACTTGCGATAGCCTCCAACCTAAATGCGATGGCCCTCAACTAATAGCGATGGCCTTCACCCTACTTGCGATGCCCTCCAACCTAATAGCGATGGCCTCCACCCTATTTGCGATGGCATCCACCCTAATAGCGATGGCCCCCAACCTACATGCCACGGCTTCCAAGAGTTCATATGGCCGTATGGCCATGACCTATGCCGCCGGCCTAACCGCCATGGCACTGCGTACTATTTGTGACGAGCCTTGTAGGTGGTCGGCAGCAAACATGGATCGATGTCGATGATGAGCATTGCTGCGTCGAAGCTTTCTAAAGGGATGTGTATGCAATTGAATGCATGAGGTGGTTGGAAAATGTTGGAAACTACTTTGAACAACCTCCTGGAAAGTCTACCAATTCGGATCTCTTTCAACTGGCCCTTGGCGCCATCATATGCTAGAAGTCTGGCAGCGGCGAAGCACGTTTCATATTCGAGCTCAAAAAGGCAATGTGGCTGTTTTGCATGCATATTGTTCCGCCTCGGGCAGCTTCTATACAGATTGAGTCATTGAGATCATGAAGAGCGAAGAAGGTTTCCCCTTTTTGGCTGCGCTGGTAGTAGTGCACGGGCAACGCAACTCCAAAAGAGCACAGCTTCCATGGAATTGGCCACCCGTGACCCCAAGCTCACCTTGAAACTGAGAGGAACAAGCGAATTGACTGCGATTTCACAGCTTGCCCACCAACCTGCATGCGGATCGAATACGGCTATGGAATTCTTCTCTGAACCGGAAAACCGGGCTCTTTGGCTGACTTCTCTTGGCACGCTTATGCAGTCTCGACTCCTACTTGCGCTAAAAGGAACCGCGCTTGAAACACTGTTTGCTCTTCTCAGGCGCGGGAATCTGTGTTGGCCAGGGAGATTCAAACTTGCCCCCTCAAGGCACTCAGCTGTCACTTTGTCCTCAGATGGCTAGCCGCCAAAAAGCATCAAGTCCAGCTTCATGACATTGAAAATCGTTCCCGCCTAGCCCAGCAAGGCCCGTCGTTGAAATGATCTGGGCAAAACAGGATCGCAAGGCAAAACTCGCGAAGTTTCATGCACCATGATGTGCTGCCATGCTGAACAGCCCTGCCAGGTCTTTGCTTCCCGTTTTTCAGATTCCATTTACTCTGGACTGCAACGCTCGAATCAACCGACTGCTTTTCTTCACGTTCGTGCGGCGTTGAGTGAGCGGAGGAGCTTCGAGTGTCCCAGAAGTGGGTCGCCCAACGCTCACCGTGGCAGGCATGCATGCCTCAATCAAGCAACACCCCCACCATTTGCCTTTCACGTTTTTCGCACGTCTGGTCCCGGAACACACTCCAAACCCTGATTTGGGTATTCAAAGCCAAGATCGACCAAACACCGAATGCCCCCCCAAGGGCCCCTCGACAGCCTGGGCCAATCTCTCCAAGGACTTGATCCAGGGTTGGCTGAACCTGTGACTTGCCACACGCAATCAGGGAGGTTTGTTGAACCCTTCCATTTTTGAAAGAAGCACGTGAAACGATTTTTTTGTGCTTGCGTCTCTTTCCTGTTGAAAGTGAAATGCATACGGACCCTTTCCTTCTCTCTTCTTTTCAAACTTAACAACTTGCAATTATAAAAAACGTGGTAGCGTGAACCATGTTCATTTAACATTGACAAACCTGAGAAGTGAGGGCATGAAAACCAGCCATCCTTAAAACGTTCGCTAGGGCGTGTTTTTCGGAAACGCCCTGCTTCGGCAAACGGGTACAAACAAAAATTCCCCCTCAAGCCTTAAGGTCTTTTCTGGGAAACTTGTTGCTAGCACCCACCTTCCCAGCGGTGCCCTTTTTTGCCCGAGACGGTGTTCAAAGGCAACAGACGCACCAACACAGACTCTCTGCATCTGGCCTCTTTAGAACAACAACGCTGTCTTTACACCTGCACCGTCGATTCTTTCCAGCCGTGCTTAAAATACATGCGGCGACAATTTGCTCTAACCGTGCTCTGCTTTGTCAAGGGCCTTCTGGCTAGAACCCGTTTTTCCTGATTTTGCCCCAAGACGGCCCTCCTCCACAAGGTCTCTTCCGAAAACGGTTTGGTGCTAGCAACCATTTTCTCAGAAGCTCTGTCTGCCTTGGGGCGGCCTTCAAGCACACCGCAAAAAGGCACCAACCCAAAAAAAACGGGTTCCTGCATCCACAAATCAGTGTTAGCCTCCGGCTTTGTCACGCGCCCCCCTCCTGCTAAAACCCGCTCTTCAGATGCCCCAGCACGGAGCCTTGACACGACCTTTTCCCCCCAACACGGCCCTCAATCACAACGCGCGGGGCGCCAACCCAGGAGTGCGGCTTAAAGGCTTTTTATTCAACTCTGCATCTAGATCTTTGCAAATCACACTATCTCACACTGCCTTTCCGTTCGCGAATGGCTTGACTTCACGCATGGCCTGGCGTGACGAACAAAAACTAAGATACTGCAAGTGCTAAGTTTCATATTGGCATACTTGCCAAGGCACTCCAAAAGATGCCGTCATGCCCAGTTGACAATGCAAAAGATGTCGTCATGCCCAGTTCATGATGCAAAAAATGCTAGTATCAACCGTATCACCAAGGCCGTCACAGCACTACATGTTGCCGAAATGTGTTCGCTCTCCCCCAGCAGGCTCTGGGTTCACCCTGATCAACGTAAGCGTGGTAAAACAGACTAGAAAAGTCAACCCATACATATTTAGATATGCTTGCTGCAAAAAAGATCTTTAAAAAATACCTAAAGAAAGGGAAACAAATAAAAAGCAAAGAAGGTGCAATGCAACTACGCACTGTAAGAAGGGCACGTCCGTCGCTGCTGGTGGGTTCGTTGGCAAAAAGTCAAAGATTCCTGGCCGCATCCCTTCTTGCTGCATTTTCGTCTGCATGCACTACTCTCTCTCTCTCTCTCTCTCTTTCTCTCTGCCTCTTTTTCCACCCTGTTGGCTTAACCCCTCCATCCACCTCTTGTAAATGTTCTTTTCTTTTGCATGTTAGCATGGTCTTCTGAAGCTTTGCCTTGCTCGAATACACTTTCCATGTCCCCTCACAACACAAAAGCACCGGTCGCACTGTCCAATCTTGGCCGTGCAACCTGTGTCGAAATTTGCCTCCATCTCGGCCATCGCTGCCTGGACACAGGACAATGCTTTAGCGAACAATTCCAGAACCAGAGCACTTAAAAGCGTCCATGGACGAGCCCACTATGTGGAAAAACGCTTTTCTGATCACAGCGAAATCCGGGTGGCACCTTAGGCACTGAAACCTGAACACATGGGGGACTGGCCAGACTTCTGCCTCCGCATTCTTTCGCAGCACCCCCAACTGCGGCCCATCACCTCAACAAAGTGAAACAAGAAAAACAGAATACCGTCATCTTTCAGGAAAAGAGGAAGGCAGCCTTACTTTCCTACTAGGAACAAGGGCATCGCTACTAGGGGCTCCTGGCATCGCTACTAGGAGCGATCGGATGCTACTAGGGGCTCCTCGCCTTACTACTAGGAACAAGGACGCTACGAACGGAGCCAAATGGGATTTCGGCACTAAGACTGACATTCGCAGTTAGCCAACAAAAACGCATGAAGCTAAGCCCTAAGGCCTTGAAGCTGTCAGAGTCCAACGCCGAAAGCAGAAGGAATTTAATGTGTGTTTTTCAGGCTGCTCTTCATGG